GGCTGACCTTGAACTTACTATGTAGCCCCTCAAACTCACCGTAATCCTGCCTCCCAAATGCTGTGATTACAGATGGTGCTACCATGCCCAGCAGTTGTAGTTGTTTTTTAAGAACAATATTTGTTTATATTTTCCCCAACGTTTAACATACCTTACAAGAAAAGGTAGGTTGTGTTTTCTGAAGTAAAGATCAGCAAACGTCATCCTTCTTTACCTCATCCTTCTAGAACGCCACAAGAAGTGGCAGTACAAGAAGCAGGAAGCACCGTGGGGTGAACACTTAATTGGCAAGCAGGAGACAGACCTGAGTCAGAGTCTGCTGGGGCACACAGCATCCTGCTGGGTTCAGTCAGTTAAATATCTCTTGGTTTCAACTCCATCCTGAGCCCATGTCCATTTGCTCTCTCAGTGGTCACCGCATTCCTACACAAAGGGAGAGCCACAGCAAGAGAGCACCACTGAGCTGCAGAGCATAGCTCCAGGTCAGGAGTGGCACGTGACACTGGGTTCCACCGCCAGGTGGCACCCAGAAAGGAGGCGGGACAGGCCGCTAGGGAGAGTTCCAGCTCTGCCTTTGCTGGCTGTTTGAGCTTGACTGAGTTGTTTTACTCCTTTCCAGGCACAGAACATTTATTTAAAAAAAAAATGAGAATAGATAGCAATTCCTGTTTCACAGGGTGCTGGGAGGGATGGATGAGACCAGCACTGCTGAGCAATCACCACAATATTCAACGGCTGCTAATTTCTGTCAGTGTCACTGTTAGTGATCTGAGTGTGCCACCAGCCTTTTACCTAGTGTGAGCTGCTCCATGTAGCTTACGTTTGAGTCCAAGAGCATTTGTTCATTGCATTTAAAATTAATAGTTTTTATAAGCCTGAGTAATATATAGTAGTCTCTTAAAGAATAAATTATTGTGAACCTTTTGTGTTGATAGCTCCTTCTGATGTTTAGATACATATAAACATATTTAACTCCTTGTACTTACTGTTCTTTTCTAATTCTTAAAGCAAAACGAATGAGCAAGAAACAAATTCAGGGTAAGTTCCTCACATTTGCGTTAGGAAAAATAATGCTGATTTGCTGAGCAGCGCTGTGAACATAACTCAGAGACACTGGTCTTAGCAATTCGATGGGGAAAAGAGGGACTTGTGTCTCCCTATGGCAGTTCAGGACCTGAATCTCCCACCACGTTTCTCTGTACAGAGAAACCATGTTCACTGGGCACAAATGTCTCATTTCTGAATTTTCCTGTCTCCTGTCTTCTTTCTCTGTAAGACTCCAACATTTAGAGTAGCATGATCTTGTCACAAAATGATTGTGAAAACAAACAAATGCAGGCACCAAAGTCGCATAGCAAGACTCAATTAAAATATGATGGTCACCCAGATAATCTGAACAGCTCTTAAATCCCATTTTAAAGGCATTATCAACTAAATAAAGAGCCCAAATACAAATTTTCACAAGGAATGTGTCTGAGGATTTCTGTCATACTGTTTTGAGAGACAGAGATTCATCTACTAAGTGAATCTTCAAAGTATTTGAAGCAGGCTCAAAAATTAAACACAATATAAAGAGAAAAAGGCAAGACAAGACTTGGACAGGGTGTGAAAAAGGTTAACTGAGATTATTACTGAGTTTCCTGGCAGCAAGGGCAAAAGGTAAAACATACCATATTAGCTTCTCATTGTTTAATGAGAGAACATTCTTTGCTGTTGAATTCAAGTGTTTGCTATGTGGGCTGTTTATGGATACCATTTAGGGGAACTGAATACACAAGGAAGTTTTTCTGTAATTTCTCCAGAGGTTTTCTAGAGCTCATAAAAGCTGAGAGGATACTATTAAAATTTAAAGTGGTACACTGTTTTGGTAGTGGTCACAACTATCCAATTTAGGATACTACTGGGATCTTAATAATGCTTTACACTGGGGAGAAACCTTGGGTTTCTGGAGTGCCTTTAGCCAGACATTTGAGATTTGAGTCTCAGCAGTGAGGTATTGTCTTCAAGAGGTGGGTGGAAATGAAAGAGGGACCTCCATGTTCAAGTGGGAAAGTTTGGGATCACCCCACTCAGCAGGTGGGCTTCAGCAGTGCTTATATCTGAGCTGGCTTTTCCTTCAAAGGAAACTTGTGATCTGCTGAAGTGCTTGGACTCTGGCCCTGCTGAGCTATCCCAGCTTCTCCGTAGGGTACTGTGAAAGAGGCCACAGGTTTGTCAATCAGCACTGCTGCGTCACCTTACGGAGTGAGTGGTGTCTTGTGTGGCTGTCTGAAATGAGTGAATGCTACCTGAGGTCACTCCTTGAGGCACCTGCTGGAAGGATGTGTTTTGATGTCACAGCTGGCTGCTGGGAATAGCTGCCAAGGACATAGGAGCACTCATTTGTCCAGCGGGGCCTCGTGGCCAAGATGATTCGTCAGTAGATTCAGTTGCTACTTTGCTTAGCCCTGCACCCCACAAGCAAAGTAAGTGCTGGGAAAGAAGAAAAAAGGGTCATGCAGAATCTAGCCACGAACATTCTTCTGACTTTTTAAAATGTGTGTTTAAACTGTAACTGAGATCCTGTTGCATAACATATATAATTTTGTGTCCTGCTTTTTTGCTTCGCATATCAGGTCACTTGAAACTCAGTGAAAAGAATGTTTTTAATCTTTCAGACAAGTGTTATACTATATATATATATATATATATATATATATATATATATAGTATATTTATATACTCTATCATCTCCTGTGGTTACTTCACTTAACTGTTGTTTTCAAGATCTATACTTACTATGTATCAATACTTCATTCCTTTTCATTGCTGAATAGTTGTTGTATGGCTCTACCATGCTTATTATATGCTCATTAGTTGATATGTTCATTAGCTGATGGATGTTTGGAGGTTTTCTACCTTTTTTTGTTTATCAAAGTTCATGTCATCAACTCTTGTTTATTTAGATCACGACTTCTTCAATTTGATTGGTAAATCTCTTCCCAAATCAATAACATGTTTGCATTTTCATTTTAAAAAATTCTGTATTTTATTTTTACTTTGCATTTCAATCTATAATGTAGCTAAATTTATTTTGCAGTTATAAGAACTAGGAAGAATTTAACTAGTATCCTATCTATGCTTTTCCACTACCCCCAGTAGCTAATATTTTCCAGCAGTGCATTCTGAATCATCTTTTCACCAACTATTTCTTTTATTTTGTGTTCATTTATTTTTAAAATACTTTCTTTTGGCTGGGGATATAGCTCAACAGCTAAGTGCCTGCCTGGCAAGCACAAGATCCTGAGTTCAATTCCCAGTACCAAAAATAAAACAAAATTCTTTTTAGATTGTTTTATGTTCACAGCAAAATCAAGTGGAAGGTAGGGTGAGAGATTTCCCATGCAGCCTGTGCCCCTACATACACACAGCTCCCACTCTGTGAACATCCAGCAGTAAAAATGGTATGTTTGTTACACTGTTATCACTCAAAGTGAATATTAGCATTCACCCTTGGTATTGTATATTCTATAGATTTGGACAAAGGTATAATGACATGTAGCCGTCATAATAGTGCCAGATAAAGTATTTTGCCTGTTCTGAAAATCTTCCGTGTTCTTCTATCCTGGTAACCACTGATCTTTTTATTCTCTCCATAGTTTTGCCCATTTCAGAGTGCCATATGGTTGGAATCATATAGTATGTAGCCTTCTAATGCTTCTTTCACTTAGCATTTAAATTTTGTCTTTTTGTAACGTGTTAGCTCACTTCTTTTTAGTGCTGAGTAATATTGTGTAGTCCAGTTTTCCATAATTTATTCATTCACCTTCTGAAGGCTACTTTGACTGTTTTTACATATTGGCAGTTCTGAATAATGCTACCATAACTATCTGGTAGGTTGTTGTCTGGATCAAAGTTTTCAGTTGCTCAGGGTGAATATCAAGGAACGTGATTGATGGATTGAATGGTAAAAGCATATTTAGTCTTATAAGAAATAGATGAACTGCCTTTCTAGAATGACTGGACTATTATGCATTATCCAGTCAACAATGAACGTGAGTTCCTATGGCTCCAACAGCATTTGGTGGTTTCAGAGTTTTGGGTGTTGACCATTCTAGTAGATGTCTAGTGACATGCCATTGTTTGAATTTGCATTTCCCTGAAGACATATGATGTGAGTCATCATTTTGTGTGTTTATTTGCCACGTATGTTAAGACACACACACCCCTGAAAAATAATCTCACAAGGAGGCCTGTGATGAATTCTGATTCAGAGCCCTTGGCTGAGAGCTTTATATGGTCTCAGTATCATCTCTCTGTTCCATAGCCCGTGAATCTATGCACCCCTGCTCTCAATCTGTACACGTCCTTCCCAGTGCCCTGCTCACCTGCTCTCCATCTGTGCCTGTCCTAGTATTCCCAGTGCAAGTGTTTACTGTTGTACTGATCTGGAACCCAGATACACTAATCTAAGGCTTGCTGAACATGGTTGCTTCTCATCATTGTGCTTTCTTTTTTTTTTTTCTTTTTTTTGGTCTTTTTCGTTTTTACCGGTACCAGGGATCGAACTCATGACTGCCTGCTTGCAAGGCAGGCGCTTATGCCACTGAGCTAAATCCCCAGCCCCATCATTGTGCTTTCTAAGCAGCACAGATGATACATCAAGGTGACCTTGAAGTAGGCAGTCCTTTTTGACCTTTCCTTTCCTAACAAGCATTCCGTCTTGTAGGAAGTCCTGAAGTGAAGCTTCCAGTAACTCAATGCTGGTGCCTTGCCATCCTTGCCGTCCAGCACTGTCCTCTTGCTGTCACCCTATCCTGTGGTCTAGGTGGTGGGTGACTTTTCCCATCAGGTCCTCTTTTGTGACTTCCTGAGTCACTCTCTTCAACGTGGATTAGTTTGACATTCGGTGTTGTTTCCTAAGTGGTCATATTTGAGGCTCTCATGGGCTAAGATTGGCCCACCAGTGCTCCTCCTTCCTGCCCACTACTTCCCATTCAGCAGTGTCCTCTCTCCCATAGATTCTGGCTGTGACTCAGTCACTGACACAGAGCCTGAGGACGAGAAGGTCCTTTCCCAGTCAAAGCAGCAGAGCCTGTCAACGACAGAGACTTCTTCTGGAAACCTGATGGTGGTGCAGCCGGACCGCATTCGCTGTGGGGTAGGTGCTCCTGTGGGCCTGGGAGATTCATGACAAAACAGGCTGAGTGAGATTCCTCACGTTGCACTTCAGTATAGTTACAACCTTCCCTTGGGGTTTCTCATTACCTGGGCCTTGGATGTACCTAGCTCTTTTAAATCAAAGAGGAATGAATCCAGGAATATTGTATCATGAATCTGAAAACTTTTATGGATTAATTACATAGAACATGCAGGAGACCATCAGATATGGACATTACCAGATACTTTGGTCATCCCTGAAGGTAGAGCCTTCTATCCTTTCCTGCTGGTCCAACACTCGGGGCAGAGGAAGCGGGAGCCTGCAGAGCGGTTGCGTCTACCTCAACTGGCCAATGACCTAGCCCAAGGGTGTACTTTGAAGCTTAATGGCTGGAACTGACTAGCTAATATTACTTACTGAAAAGGTTGGATAAATGTTTAAACATCCAGTGATTAGAATTTTTAGGGGCAGGCATAAATTAACAGGTGACTTGATTGTGATGATCTAGCACACAAGCCACTGTCATTTGAATTCTATCATAATATTGGTAGTTTTTCATTATCTTTCCTTTTTTATTAAAATCGTGTGACATCTATAATAGTTTGGAGCAGCAAAGTGCTTTCTTCATGGATATACTCTCATTGCTAAGCTTGCCTCTGTGGGCTACTTGAGGCAACAGAGTCTCACAGCCTTGGTAGTAGGAAGCATGGGAACTGGTTTCATTGCACGTTTAGGTGATTTTCTGTAGAGCTGAGGCCATCTGACGTTGGGCAAAGGCCCCATCCATGGCATTGTAAGATGCTTCTTTGGGCTCAGTTTGGCTCAGGTACATTTGGTTTGAATTTCACATGTTTTATGATTTAAGCATAAAATGTCATGGTGATAAGAGACAGTAGGACAGGGAGATCATTTGAGCCATTAGGAGTTTTAGTCTAGTAGGGACAACATAATGAGACCCTGTCTCAAAAAAAAAAAAAAAAAAAAAAAATGGAATATAAATCTGTTTCCAATTCCCTTGGCTGAAAGTCTAATCATATTAGACTGGAGATGATTAGCTGAGGATGAGAAGCCCTTTGTAGAGATGATGCATCCTCCAGTTTCGAGGCCTTCACTGCTCCTTAACCTTAACACTCAGCCCATTTTACTCCTTTTACCTGCTGGCCAGGCCTGTGTAGACATTTCATCTTCAGTCTCCACATACTGCTTCCCGCTTCCCCATGACTCTCTGATCACATTGTGAGTGTCTGTGGGTGTGAGGGTGCTTGGAACCAAAGCATAATTCCCCTTACTCACCTCTCTGATTTTCATTCATTTTCTCCTCCTGACTGTTTATTTGGAATTTTCCACTTGTGGCATCGTGGTGATGCTCAGAAAGTTTCACATTTTGGAGCATGTCTGACTTTGGATATTTGGATTAGGAATGCCCAACCTATACATTTCTTTGGCAGGCTTAGGGTAAGATTTTGTAGCAAAGGAAAATAGCTAACTAAGTTGCTTGATTGATGCCTTGGGAAAATTAATCCTCTAGTAAATCATCCCTCTGTCCCCACCAAGCAGTGTGAGCAGCAGAGCTACATATGGCTTCTTTAAACCAGGACCTCAGACGCTGTAGGATACAAAAGAGTTACGTGGGCATCTTGGTAAAACCCAGACCCTGAGTCGGTGGTCCAGAAGGACCGATAGTCTCTGTTTTCCTTCTCTTCCTTTCCTTTCCTTTATTTTCTTTTCTTCACTGAGTATTAAACCTAGGACCTCTTGCATGCTAGCCAAATGCTCTACCACTGAGCTTTTTAAAAAATTTTTATATAAAGACTAAACAAAACAGAAAAATGGGTAGAAATAGTACATATGTTCAAAGAAAAATAAATAGTAAGAAATCACTAGTTGATGTTTACATACTGCCCTCTTACAAATAGTTGTTCAAGATACAAAAGTGGAGCATATAAAGTGGAATTCAAACAGCGAGACTGCAAAGAGTTCTGTTCCACTATCCAACAAAAACTTAGTAACATGGTTGTCAATCCTATACACTTAAACATACATGCAGTTATCCATATCTTCATTTATGTTTAGATGAAACAAACTAAAGCAGGCTAAAATCATTCTGAACAAAGAATAACTGCTGGATTTCACATCATGACACTCGAGGATCAGCACTGGGTACTATACTGTCTTTTTTTTTTTTTAATTTCTACCATTGAGCTTTATATCCCAGCACTTTAAAAAATTTTTGGGACAAGGTCTCACTAAGTTGCCCTGTGTGGTCTCAAAAACTCATGATCCCCTGGCCTCAGCCTCCCAGGTAGCTGCGATTATAGCCATATAGCACTTCACTTGGCTGCAGACTGCGTTTTTTACCAACTTTGGAGGGTTCCCAGGACTGCTGGTCCCTCCAGCCCCATGTGGAGGAGCAAGGCTAGTTTAGAGCAACACTTCTCAAAGAATCTGATGGAAAGGACTTGTAAAACTTGTTCTGTTCTACAATGATATGATGATTTTATTTTACAAAAAAGAGAAATGCTATAAAAATGAAATAAACCATAAATTATGTATAAACACTGGGTTTAAAGAATTATTAAATTCAACAGACACAAATTATCTCATTAAATTACTATAAAGGTTTAGAAACGTTTACTCTTTGTCTTTGGTAACTTGTCTCTTCAGAATGGTAGTCAGCAGTTTTCTGTCCACCTGCAAGCATGTCCTCCCTGAGCCCCAGATCTTTCTAATCAAGGGGCTCAAGAGTGCCAGGGGGACCCTCTGCCCCAGCACCCTGGATACCTATCCAGAAGGGAAAGGGGACCATGACCCATGGTTTTCTCTTCTGTTCCAGGCAGAAACTATTGTCTACATCATTGTGAGATGTAAGTTGGATGAGAGGGTAGCAACAGAGGCAGAATTTTCTCCTGAGGATTCTCCCTCTGTGAGGGTAGAAGCCACACTGGAGAATGAGTACACAGTTTCTGTGAGGGCGCCTGGTAAGTAATCCTAAGGTAAAAAGAGCGTGTTGGGCTTAACTGCTGCTGAAATATTATTACTCTGTAGCTCATTTGCTATTCCATCACCAAACTAAACATTGCCACTTTAAGTAGTTTTGATACTTTGATATTTGTAAAAAAGTAGTCCATCATTTTAATTTGCATTTCCTTGATTACTAGTGGGGTTGAATATTTTTCCATGTTCTCTACTTGTTGCATTTCCTCTTTTGTGAATTTAATCTTTGTGGTTGGTATATTTTTAATTTTTTCTTTCCCCTTCAAAACCTCTTCCGGTGGTGTAAAATCCTACCCTAGGGAGAGCACGTAGCAGTGACAACAGCAGAACATGTCAGCTGGCTCCAGGGGCCCAAAGTGACAGAAACATACTCTCACCTCCAGAACCCCTCACCTTTAGCAACCACTGCCCTTTGTGCTTTAAAGCCATGTTTTCTTCCTGTTCCTTGAGCCTTAGGCCTACAGTAGTAAAATAGATGAAAATCCTTAAAATATGAAATTGCAGAGCCAAGGATGATAACTGCTATGACTCTGGGTCCCCCCTGTCAGTAGGTGAGGGGTCACTCACCTTCTACTTCCTGCCTCCCCCCCCGCCCCCCAGCTCACCTCTCAGGGCTTTCTCAGTTCATCTCTTCACCATGTAGATGGCGCATGCCTGTCTGTGAGCACTGTGCTCTTCCTAAGCATTTTATGGTATCTTTCCTTCTGTTCAGATCTTTCATCTGGGAATGTTTGTCTGAAGATTTATTCCGGGGATTTAGTGGTGTGTGAAGCTGTTATCAGCTACTATACTGACATGGAGGAAATTGGGAATTTACTGTCCAGTGCTGCAAATCCTGTGGAGTTTATGTGCCAGGTAAGGTGCTGCAAGGGGACCTGAGCTTTCTGGGAAAGTAATTTTTGCTCATGCCTTTCAGCCTTGAATCTCCTGGGCAGGAAATAACCTGATTTCAAATCTGTCTTTTTGTATTCAGGCTTTTAAAATTGTGCCCTACAACACAGAGACCCTTGATAAACTGCTGACGGAGTCCCTGAAGAACAATATTCCTGCAAGTGGACTGCACCTTTTTGGAATCAGCCAGCTGGAAGAGGAAGATATGATGACAAGTAAGTCAGCAGTCAGATGAGACCCTCAGCGGGCCAATTGCGACCTGCTGGTTTCAGTCCCATCAGCACTGTGCTGTACAACCCATCTTGTGAGAAGCACTAATGCTGTCCTGTGTAGCTAGAGAGTCTTCTCAACTGCAAATCTGAATATAGCCGTACATTGCTTAATGAGGGGGCTGTCTTCTGAAAAACACATAGGTGGCTTCATCACTGTGTCAGCCTCACATATAAATTTATACAAACCTAGGCGTTACAGGCTGTTAGCCACCACGGCCATATGATATATGTATTATCTATGTCTGTACATGTGGTGTATGTCGTATAGATGGTGTGTATACACATACATGTATATATATCATAATCTGTTCCTCCTGGGGCCAAGGTGAACAAAATTAAATGAAGCAGAAAAGAAAATGATGCAATCAAGAGATTCAGTAAACACAGTGTGTGTGAGACTGCTGATTTGTAGCAGTTTTTTTAATAAGTAGGAGTACAGTCTAAAATAATGATTAACAAGTATAGTACAAAAAATACATAAGCGAAGAGCACAATTCCTTATTGTCATCAAGTGTTACATATGGTACATAATTACACATGCTGTACGTCTGTACAATTGATATGAGCAGGTTTGTCCACAGCAGCAGTATCACAAATAAATAAATATTGTAATTCCTTGTACTGTGATACTTCAGTGGCTACAGTGTCATTACAGGTTGGGAGATTTTCCCCTTCTTTCGGATCTTACAGGAGCTCTGTTATTGACTTTATGGGCACCAATTGCACTTCATCCCCTCTTAAAGACACGCGTGATTCCCCTTACTTTCCTGATGAGATTAAAGCTTCTTAGCCTGTTATCAAGTCCTTCCCAAAGGGCCCTGCGTGTTTCTGTGCAATAGCGTGTACTTCTTTCTGCTACATCTTGCTACTCAGTCGTGGGAATGCAGTTTCTTAGTTCCTGCCTCAGTTACCATTCACTTCATTAACTTCACTTCGCCTCCCTGATGCAGCTTAAGATAGCACTTCATCTGGAAGGATTTCTCAAACCTCCAGCACCTTCCACCTCCTGATGCGGTCTCCCCTAAAATTCTGGGGCCTCTGTCACAGTGGTTGTCTGCTGTGTCTGTCTCCTTTGCTAGGTTGTCTGCTCAGCAAGAGGTGGAACTGTTTCCAGGTGGCTGACTCCTGCTGCGCTGTCAACAAATATTTGTCCTAGGAGGCAGGAACAGGCCCTTATGTACCTGTAATGTGTTGGGAGCTAGGAGAGTCACACCACAGTACCAGAATTGTGCCCAGTGTTCTGGACAGGATACTTTTGTAGTGTTTCTGGAGATACCAGTCTTCCTTCACACTGAGGTGGTCCTGAACAAATGAGACCCAAGTCTCCGGTGACCTTCTGTGTTCCATCTTTCTTAGCCTAAGAACCCTAAAAGGAGACTGAGTCTCATTTGAGGCCTTCTTCTGGGGCATTCTCTTCCCTGCTTTTCCCCATTTTCCCACTGTGGCATGTTCCTGCTTCATTTCTGGTAGATGTTACTGTTCTGTTTTTAAACTTGGGGCTCAGGAGAGAGTCTGATCATGGGAGATCCTAGATCCATCCTCCCAAAGATCATATTCTGGTGAATAGGATGCTGAGTTGTGATATTAACATTATGTGTATGTATATAGACAAATTTATACATATAAACATGTATATGTTATATATATATGATTGTTGCACCTAAGGATCAACTTTCATGAATGTAAATTGTGCCTTAATTCCACAACACAAGTGTGTATTTTCTTGGCGTACTTATTGTGAAGTTGGGAATAAAACCTAATAGGATGGGCTTAATCAGCACAGAAAAATATTTCAGGGTGCTTTGAGCTTTGCAGAGAAGGTCACAACATGATTCCTGTTATACATTGTATTTGCTCTTTAATCCTTTAGAAATTAGCACCTTTTGTGCATAGCACTGTAGGTAGTGCAGTGGTAGAAGACTTGCTTAGGATTTGTGAGGCCCTGGCTTCAATATCCAACAGTACAAAAATGAAAAACAAATGAATAAGAAGAAACCAGCATCTTTTGAATTAGTACTGTTTCTAAGGCTTTTCCAGTCCTTTTGGAGAAGAAGGTAGGGTATCTTATTAATGACTAGATCTGCTAATTAATTGAGGTATTATTTCTTCTGTCATGTGAGCACAATATACGATGTTCAGTAATGCCCCAAAGGAAGCACTAAGTTGTTAGGGAAGTGAATCAGTAAGTGATGACTGAGTGCTTACCGGTTGCCATGCTAGGCTTTACAACTCCATCTTCTTGAACAAAAGCATACTGTGCCCTCATTCTTACTTATCAGTTAAATTCTGGTTTATTTTCAGATCAGAGGAATGAAGAGCTGCCTACCTTACTGCATTTTGCTGCAAAGTATGGACTGAAGAACCTCACCGCCTTGCTACTCACCTGCCCAGGGGCCCTCCAGGCATACAGTGTGGCCAACAAGCATGGCCACTACCCCAATACCATCGCCGAAAAACATGGCTTCAGGGATCTCCGGCAGTTCATCGATGAGTACGTGGTAAGGTCAAGGCAAGAAACTGTGACTGGAAACGTATTATGTGGTTGTAGGGCTGTCTTCTTACTAAAGATACAGAAAGATTTCATCTCTGGCATGGCCTCATGTGTCTCTTCTGGTAGTGGGCTTAGTGTGTGGGCTTAAGAGATGACTTCTGCAGTCACATGGACCAGAGTCCAAATTTCTGTACACCATGTGACTGCAGGCAAGCCATATATCCTGTCTTTGTTAATATGCAGAGATAAGCTCATAATAGTTGTGCTTATAGAGCTCATAGAAGGAAAGAATCTATGCAAAGCACTGATCTCCACCCACAAAGAAATGCCACAAACATTTATAAAGTGAATCTGCTGAAGACTGCTACGAATCTCTCTACTTCACTTGCCTCACCACCCACTACCAAGGCTCCTTTGGTGGGATGTTCCCAGCCATCTTGCCCACCTTTGGACCCAAGCTAATTGTGTGTGCACTAGGTCCTTCCTTATTAGGGCCTCAGTAGATCCCTATACCCAAAAGGGCTTCCAGGAGGCCAACCATGGACATTCAACTCCTGCTAACAGCCTCTTTCTTACCTTCTGCCTGTGTGCAAATGCAAATTTAAGACAGATATATCCAGATTATATGCTTATCTGGTTTTGGGCTCCTACCTCTTTTTCATTGATCATTGACTTCTGGGTCCTTCTGTGAGCCTGATCTTAAGCCATGCCTATGTTTTGTGTATGTGTGCACGTGTGTGTGTGTGTGTGCGTGTGTGTGTGTGTGCACATGCATGTGCGTGTGTCTGTGTGTGCACATACACTTGCATGCATCTGTGCTGGAGAATGACCCTGTACATGGGCCTTGTACATGCTAACATTCTACCACTGAGCTACACTTCCAATTTTTATTTTGAGACAAGGTCTTATGAAGTTGCCTAGGTGAGCTTCAGACTTGCAATCCTCTTGTCTCAGCCTCCCAAGTAGCTGGGATTCTAGGTGTGCACCATCAAGCTCGGAAATGTCTAAATTTTATTTCATTGCTTCCTTTGTCTTAGAGGCAGATGCTCTTCCTGACTGCCCTCCTTTCTCATTTTCTTCCTCCTTCACAGACTCACAGAGAGCATATGAAAATAACTTAGCTTGGTATATGGAGTTGTGACCCCTAAAGGAGCACTGAACACAATCTGGTCTTGCTATTTATCTCCTGACAGTAATAAGCTTGATGCCTCCCAGAAATTTATCTCTTGGCTCTTTAATTGGCAAATCTACAAGGGAGCAACTCAGAAAAGTTTATACAGGGGGTTTCTCAATGTTTGGAGGTGTATAAATATTTCAAGTGAATAGAATAGTGGAAATCTGTCTTTTGGGCCTTATTGACATAAAGGGTTCCAAAAAGTGCTCATGGTCTAGGAGTATGGAATTGGCATTACTTTGAAATCACAAATTATGCTCAATGTAGCATTTCATTTTTGTATCAGTAGTTTTTATTGAAGACAAATTGTATATGTTATAATAACTAATATGTATTGAATTTATTTGGTTGTCAATTTATTTGCATTGTCTCATTTAATCCTCACCCTAATCTTGACAGTATTAGGATCCTCATTTTGTAAATGAGGGAAGAGATTTAGAAAGGCCAGCTGACCCAGCACTAGAAAAGGTGGAGATGGAACTTGAGCCTAGTTCAGTACTAAAGCAGGGACCTGATACCTGCCTATGAAACAAGGCAGTTTATACATGCTCTTTCAGTGTGCACTGAAGATAATGTTGTTCACATTTCTTGTATCCTGTTTAGTTCTAACTGTAGTCACCTTCCACCAATGTGTCTTTAGCCTTGCTACTGGAAAGTTGATGCTATTTACAGCCTCTCAGAATTTTCCTGTTTTCTTTTCTACCACATTGAAATCAGATGGTAAGCTGGAGTCTCTGGCACTGCACAGCTGTCACTTGGTCCCTTAGTTCTTTTTTTTTTTTTTTTTTTTTTGTCTTTTTCATTTTTATTGGTACCAGGGATCGAACTCACGACTGCCTGCTTGCAACGCAGGCACTTATGCCGCTGAGCTAAATCCGCAGCCCCTGGTCCCTTGGTTCTTACCAGGAAACCAACCCAGAGTGTCAGTCAAAGATTGGCTGTCTTGGGTAGTGATGGTGAAAACAAGGATTTCTGTGGGTTGGAGCGGAAATAAGGATTGTGACATATCAAAGTTTCTTGCCAGGAAAAGTTGTAGAGGTTTTGGAGAAGTCATCTTTCTACCTCACAACTGCTGGAACAAAACAGCCTTTCTGATGCCTGTGCCCTTGATCCAAGAGCAGCTCTCTTCTGAGCATCCAGGACATGGATCCGAGGGAGGAAGCCTGGGAACAGTTGGCACTTTGGAGAAACTTCCTGATCCCTCAAGTGCAGAAACACCTTAGTAGTAGCCTTGTTGAGTCCACTTGCATTTCTGTGTGACTAGGCAGTAAAGGCCACATCCTCTTTTGTCATTGACTTACTAGGATGTAGTAGAAAGGTCAAAGTTGGGATTGCAAACCTGACAGTAAAGGACTAGTTTTTTGAGCTTTGCTTTTCTTATTTGTGAGCTAGGAAATGGTACAGTTTCTCAAGCAGTGCGGAAAAAATGCTATTGAGATACCTAGCACTGGACCTGACCCACAGTCGGTGCTTATGTGAAAGTAGCTTTAAATTTGTACACTCCAGTCATTCAGCATTTAACCAGAATCTTTTTTTTTTTTTCTTTTTGAGACAGGGTCTCACTATTCAGTTCAGGCTGGCCTTAAGCTCACTTTGTAACCCAGGCTGGTCTCAAACTCACAACAATCCTCCTGTCTCAGCTTCCTGAGTGCTGGAATTACAGGCGTGAGCCACGCCAGAATCTTTTAAGTGCATATATAACCCTGTGATTAGCATGGAAGGAAGATACAAAGATTAAAACAGAAAACATAACGCAAAGGCAGGGAAGGGAAAAGGAGGGGAGGGAAAGGAAGAGAAAAGAAGGGAAGCCATGAAGTTGGCCCTAAGGAGCTTATAGTCAGGCAGGGACTACAGAGATACTAAGCACCTATGAATTCCTGTGAATGCTTGCTCTGCTGGCCACAAGTCCAGTTGGGCGACCTTCCTCAAACCACCAGGTGCCTCAGTGTGCTCATAGATCTCATCTTTCCTTGCAGGAGACAGTGGACATGCTGAAGAGCCACATTAAAGAGGAGCTGATGCAAGGAGAGGAGGCTGATGCTGTGTATGAGTCCATGGCCCATCTGTCCACAGACCTGCTCATGAAATGCTCCCTCAATCCCGGATGTGATGAGGAGCTGTATGAGTCCATGGCTGCCTTTGCCCCAGCAGCCACAGAGGACCTCTGTAAGTAGCCTAGCCCAGTTCTGCTTTTGTGTTTCTACCGAGAAATGGCTGTCTTCATTCTGGACTGTTGAAGGAAGTCCTTGTTTACCCCTGCCTTGCCCCAGAGAGAGGATCCTGTGTTACATAGCATTAGGTTGATGGTCATGTGCTGTCTGTGGCAACCAGATGTTTCCCCAGACTTCCGATGCTGTGAGTACTGAGAAGCCTTGCCTGGAAGTCATCACGCATGGAGACATTGCCGCGTGATCTGCAGGGCCCACTCAGCAGCTCTCAGCCGGGCCAGTACCAAGGGTCTGCCGGTCTCTTTCTCTGCCTGTCTCTCCCTCTGTTTCTCCCTCTCCTTCTCCCTCTCCTTTCTGCTTTCTTTCTTTTCTTCTTTCCTTTCTTCCATCCTTTATTTATTTGGCACTGGGGATCAAACTCCTGACCTCGTGCTTGCCAGGTAGGTGCTTATGCCCCTGAGGTAAATCCCCAGGTAACCTTCCTTCCTTTTTTTTGTAGTGCTAGGGCTTGAGCCCAAGGACCTACCACTGAAATTTATCCTCAGACCTTTTTTATTTCAGTTTTTTAAATTGTTAGTGTCTTGCTAAGTTGCTTACGTTGGACTTGAACTGGAGATCCATCTGTCTCAGCCTCCCGAGTATTTGGCAGTATAGATGTACCATCAAATCTCTCAGACCCCCTTTATAAAAAACATGTTGTAACACCCTATTTAACACTCTAACATGATACGACACTCTTAGAAATCAAGTATACTGTCCTAATTGGAATATAAAAGGAAAATGAAAGAAGAGGTCATACTAAGACATAACTACACATAAAGCCATATGACACAGTCCCATGAAGACACCTACCCTCAGAATCACTGTCCATGCCTTGTCCTCAGATGTTGACTGACACAGGTCAGTTGTTTTGGTAATGCTGTGAGCAGCACTGGCATCAGCACCTGGATTTTCCTAAATGATGGACAATATACAATCTCATAGTATAATTTCCTGGAAAGGAGTATGTATTCAGAAATAAAATACATTCATATATGAGATAGTTTAGTTTTTAAGCTCAGATAATTATAAGCAGAGGGTTTTTTTTTTTGGCAGAGGTGAAAACCTGATTTTATTTGGATTGATATATAATAAACTTATTTATAAAATATCAATCCCCAGGACATGATTTTTCTTGTAAATTGTTTAACAAATGTTGCCTGCTTTGATTATCTTGTTTTTCTAATTTCAAAAGTAATATATTTTATGAAAACTTAAAATAAGAATCTAAAACTGAGTTGATAAAGTCTGTATGACACCCAACTACCATAGCATTAGCAATAGTTTAGTAGGTCTGTTTATCAGCTTTTTCCTTATATCTGCTTGCATTAAATAAAAACACACACAAATGCACATACCTGTGTGAACATGTACCAAAGCAGGTCTGCAACCTGTGTAGCTATATGGGGGTGTTGAAAGTTCCTTTGTTGCGGTGGGCGTCCCACACATCAGTGTCCCTGCATCACCCTCTAGGGGGCAGTGTGCCACCTTGGAGAACACTGATCTCATTAACATTGGATCTCACTGTGAGTGCTGGCAAGGAAGCAGAGATCCCTACAGTGCACCCCTGACATCGCTTGTTGGTGTATTTCTGCCGTTGTTCTCAAGTGCTAAGCAGTCTGAAACAGTGCCTGAGAGTCAGCCTTCTTTCCTTCTGGATCTAATAAATGGAATCAAGAAAGATAAGTCAGAGTCACCAACATGCCAGGGTTATGTTGGGGGGCTGTCTGGCAGGGGGTAGACCTAGGATTGCCACCTTTTCAGGACCTGAGGCAAGAGATCTGACTCTCCATGAACTCATTGAAAACTGGGCATCTGTGCCTTGGAGAAGGAGGCACAGACTGGTTGGGAGCCAGAGGTGATCCCTGACCCCAACAAGGCCTTTGACCCCAACTCTAGCCCCTGCAAGTGTGTGTGGGGGTGGGGCAGTGTTTGATAGGCATTTGCCAATCAGATGGGCTGCTCCTCTGAGACAAAAGGTGCAGAAGTCCCTTTCCATCCTTGATTGGGATGACCAGAAGCACTGGTTTGAGCTCTTCCTGAAGGAGCTAGTGGCTGGCAGGGATGTGAGTTAGGAAGGCATCATCCCTGCCATCTCACTAACTCTTTAAAACAGTCCTTCAGGAATGCATTTACAGCCTGCACGTTACAAATGGAAAAACCCAGGCCCCAGGAGATAAAGCAACTTTCCCAAAGTGTCACAGCCAAGAGATCTGATAAAGCCTAGAGTTAGATCTGTCTTTAGGACGGTATTCTTTATCCCAGGTCAGACATTTTCATCTGACACCAGACTTTAGTTCTGGCTTCCTATAAAAAATCTCTCAGGCTCTGCAGCCACACTTTCCCCTTTCTGCAGCTCCAGGTATCAGATAACAGAACTGCCCCGGGATCCCTTGCACATTTATCATCTGTGCTCACAACCGACAAGCGTTTCAGGAGCGTCTACTCTGCTTGGGTCACTTGCTTGTCCTGAGTGCTGGAGATGCAAGAGGGAACCAAAACCAGTGCTTTCGACTGTGAACCAGAGACTTTCTCACAGAAGCATACTTGGTTGGAGAACCACAAAGACCCGCTTGAGAACCCAGTAACTGAACATCATTTCTTCCCTATCTCCTAGTTATGGGGCTGTGAAACAAAGAATTCTCTACCTGTTTTCTCCCCTAAGTGCTCTAGTGCATGAAATTGCTCCACAACACTGCATCGTACAGGGAGTGCTAAAGGCATCTGCCATTTTCTGTGGGCTCTTCACAGAGGAGACGATGAGGCCCACCAGCATTTTCCAAGGCAGTAGTTTGCTGTGGAGCTGGGTGGGTTTGTGGTAACCTCTGAAGTCTCCAGGAGCCAGGAGTTTCTGGTGGTCATGGAACTAGAAAACTCTCATGAGGGGGACAGGTCTATGGAATTTGGCTGTGTTTGAGATCAGCAATAGAAACCTACCACATTTTTTATTCAGCAGATACTATCCTCTCTGAATTTACTTTTGACATGGTTTGACTTCTTCCTGTCATTGTGATTGTTGGGTTTATCCTTGAGAAAAATCATTCCTCTGATGGTTCAGAGGTGCAGCATCTTGGACCTGGCAAGGAGCTTATCATGAGGAAATAGTGTAGTGGTGAAACTAACAAATCCGAGATGCTTATTTCAGCACTACCAGCCTAAATCAAACATCTGGTTGAAGTTGATTGACTGCTTTTTTCCTATTGTCTTATCTGACCATTTTCGGGCTTGTTGAATAGGGTTGTCTTCATTTTACCAGGGAAAAGTAAAGACTCCAAGATTAGTTAACATTTCAAGTCTGTGAAGGAAGGAGTATATCAGGAATCTGAGTATTCCAGCTCCAGGACAAATCTACCTTCCATCAGATGGAGACTGAGGGCCTACCTTTCTGGGGTTTGAATTTGATAGCCCTGGGATGGGCACTCTACAGGACCTGCTTCTGTCTAAATAGTCAGGTTTATCAATGCCTTACCTTTGCTGCCATTCATCATGGTATCCTTCAGACACTGAAAATAAACCGTTGGGGAAATTAGGTTGCTTATTCATTTGCTTGCTTGCTGGACTAACTTTATAGAGTACAAGGCTTTAGGCTACTTTACTGCCAATACTTTAAAGATCCCATAATTGGAATAGGGAAAAATTTGCCTCTTTCTGACTTGAGTTTAGGGCAGGGCTGTAATGAAGTTCCTGTTACCAAAAGTACTTCAGAACAACTAATAAGTAGGAAGACCATTGTATGTGTTAAAGGAAGGTGAGATGTAAGGGGATGTTGTGCTCTGACCTTGGGATTTTATGATTCTGTTCCAATCTGTTTGCCTTAAAACTTACATGAGCACATACACACACCCCTCACGTGCACCCTCATACACGCAGTCTTTAGTATAGATATGCTGCCACCAGGTGGTAACTCTGTGGCATTGTTAGACCTTCAATTTTGTTCTCAGTTTTTTGTGGTTTTTTTTTTTTTTTTTTTTTTTTTTTTTTTTTTTTTTGGCACTGAGGATTGAACTCATGACCTTATGCCTGCCAGACAGGTGCCCATTGTTCTCAGTTCTCTGGAGATTTTTTTAAAAATCAAGACCCCACAGGATTAAGCCACCAACCTCCACCTTTTACTGTGTAAGAAATAACTATCAACTGACTTAGTGGTGAACACCTGTAATCTCACAAGTTGGAGCCAAGCCTGTGAACAGTGTAGCAATTTAGCCATTTCAAAATTTAAAAAAAAATGTTAAAGGTCTGGAGATACAGCTCAGAGTGAAGGTCCTGGGTTCAATCTCCAGTACTGCAGTCGATCAGTCAATGTCTTTATTAAATTTCAAGCTTATGCAAACAGTGGATCCAGGCAAACCTCTCTTGGATACACTATCTCCTGTCTTTTCCTCACTTAGGTCTTTTGTCTCTCTCTTTGTCTTCTGAGGTTAATGAGGTTGTCTTGTGGCCCTTTGATTTATGTCATTCATTTCATTTTCAAAGCTTTTCCTGGTGAGTAGTCTAACTAGTCACTTCTCCCAGACTCTGGGCATGAAGGCCTTAGTAAATAGTGGTGGGAGGCCTCTGCCCAGTCTGTTTCCAAGGGACTCCACTGGCAGATTGTAGCTTTTCTTGTATATCTCAGAGGCTTGTTTTTATTCCTTAAGAGAAAAGAGTCAAGGGAGAAAGTTGCCATATATTGCTACTAAAAACTGCAGGCTTGCCAGTGTCTCTAGTCCCAGATAGCTGTTTTTCTTCCTGTCACTGTCACATAAACTTCTCCTTTGGGATCCCGATACCTCTTCCACAGTTCTTGGGCACTTCAAGCTTATACATGGCGCACAGCCCCCTTGGCCCTCACTACCTTGCTGGCTTCCCTCAGCAGCTGCCTTGCTAACTGACATCTCCCGACAGGTCATCTCCAGAAGTTTGTATTTCCTTTAATTGCGCCCCCCTCTCCCACTTTGCTGGGTTCCCTCTGAGCTGGGG